GAACGAGTGCCAGCCAGGACGAGGGGGAAGCAGGTTGCAAAGGTGAGAAGGAAAACCAGCACCAGGGTTTCGGGCTGAGGAGGGGGGCTGGGGCCACCGCCATGAGGGAATGGAGCACATCACCCCCTCCTCACATGCAAGGCCCCCATGCAGGCCGGCGGCGCCTAGAAGCGGGGACTGGGGGCGCTATCCTGGGGGTGCGAGCCTCAGAGATCAGGCATCGCCGGAGCCCATGAAAGAGAAAGGGCAGGTCTGGGTGGCTGAGAGAACCTGATCTCTGGGGTCCTCCAGGCTGGATGCAGTCCCAGTCCCACCATCTTGGGGCTGTGAGCCCCGACTCTCGGCACCCGAAAACGGCCAAATGGGGATGACAATTGGATCTACCTCTCAGGAAGTCATGAAGCATCACTGGGATAATGCAGTGAAGTGTTTGGCCTTGTGCCCAGTACATAGTAAGTGCTCAATAAACACCAAGTTATGATGACTCAGAGGTTCAGGTGGGGAGGACAACATCAAAAGCCATCTGTCATGGGTCCCTGCCGGCCAGAATCCCAGAGTCCACGCTGGCTGCCCTCCCTTGCTCAGGCCCCTGGCTCTGGGCTGCTGATTCTGGAAAGTCTCCGGCCCGGCTGGTGAGGGCACCGAAGGGTAGGCCTGAGGAGGCCCTGTGTCTGCACAGGCTGGGGGCCCTGTCTCAGCCCTCTCCTCCCCGCCACTCCCCTCCCAGCAGACACTCCCATTTCAGTGGGAACCCAAGTTTTGAGCAAAATAAGCTCTCAGTTCACAAAACAATGGAGTAATTAGGTGTGTGAATGATTTCTATTGTTCCAATTTTATTTTTTAGAAAAGATGAAAATAAGTGAGCCAACAGGAATTTCCACTTCAGGCAGTAAAAGGAAAAGTATTTTAGGGCCCGTTAACTTTCTGGATTATGGGCAAGGCCTGGGATCCCCCTGTCATCCCCATTCTAGACAATAGGAGGGGGTTCCCAGGCCTCCCGCCAGGCCTGCTTCCAGCCCTAGCCAGTTCCCTGCCTCCAGCCCCGGGCAGTTCTGCCGCCTCCAGCCCTGGGCAGTTCCGCTGCCTCCAGCCCTGGGCAGCAGCCTCCAGCCCTGGGCAGTTCTGCCACCTCCAGCCCTGGGCAGTTCCGCAGCCTCCAGCCCTGGGCAGTTCTGCCACCTCCAGCCCTGGGCAGTTCCGCCGCCTCCAGCCCTGGGCAGTTCCGCCGCCTCCCAGAGCCTCACTGTCCCCTTGGGGGAGGGGGGACAGCAACCTCTCCTAAGCAGCCAAGCAGGCCCCTGTGACCCCTCCCTCCATCCTCTGAGGCCGCCCTCTAGAGGGCAGGTCCCCTCCATCAGACAGGGAGAAGGGGGAGGAAAGGGCAGGGCAGTGGGCTGCTCACCTGGGCTAAGAATCACTCACTCACTCACTCATTCATTCACTCATTCGTTTGCATTTTTACGGAGGGCCTCAGTATATCTGTCACTGAAAGTCTATCTGGACATGTAACAACAGACACGCCAAGGAAACAGGCACGGTGCTCTGGGGCCTGCAGCAAGGAGACCAGGACTCGCGTGGGCTTCCCTGAGCCCGTGATGCGCCAGCTAAGATGTAAAGGACAGGTCAGCACCAGCAAGAGACTGCGCCCCAACTTCTCCACCTGTAGAGGGGATGATCATGCTACCTGTGTCATGAGTCGCTGCAGGGACATAATACATATTAGCTATTGGTATTGTCACGGGCAGGCACATGGGGAGCCGCCTGGCCAGGGGCAACAGTGGCAGGGGGAAGGGTCTGATTCAGGGTGGAGGGCAGGTGACATGGAGGACACGGAGGAAGAGGTGCACAAGGAAGCTTTTGATGGATGATGGAGTTTCAGGGGGCAGAGGAACGGGTAGAGGAGGACAAGTATTCAAGCAGAGGGAACAGCATAAGCAAAAGAATAGAACTTGAGGTCTGGGACCTGGTTGGACCACATCTCAGAGCTCCGTTAGGATTAAGCTCTGGCCCAGCTGCGCCATTCCATACAGAACGCCAAGGCCAGGCTGAGGTGGAGGGGAGCCCCTGGGGAGCGGCCAGAGCAAGGCCAGGGGTACAGAGGGTCTCAGGACAGGACACCATGAGCTCTCTGTTCCCTCTAGCCTCATCCCCAGCTGGGAAGGGTGGCCTCTCGCCTCCAGCCCGCAGGCCTACCCACGCCGCCCTGCAAGCTCTTCTCACCTACAGCACCGCTGGGAGCTCCCCAAGGCTGGCTGGCCAGCACTCTCTGGGCCTTTCCCCCTGTTCAACCATCACTTATTAAGCACCCACTGAATGCCTGGGTGCTAAAACTGGTGGTGCATACCAGCTCCAATTATGACACTTGTTAAGCCATTGGTGACTTAAAGTTGGCCATGCTAGGAGGATTGACACCATAGGAATGGGCCAGCTCCACTCATCAGGGATTTTATTTTCCTAGAGAGCCAGTTGCCAGCCTCCAATTGTCCCCCACCTGAGCAATGGATACAGATAGGCAGGCCCTGACCACAAGGACTCACACTCAGAGGAGAAGACATCAGGGATGGGGACAATGCATCTACTGGGGCAGGCTGTGTAGTCTCCAAGAAGGCATGGGTGGATCAGGAGACGCATTCTGGAAGTGGGGCAGTAAACACCCACTGAAAACTACGCCAAGCTGTTCAAATAGTAAGTGTGCACGTCCACGGCCATACCACCCTGAACGTGCCCAATCTCGTCTGATCTCAAAAGCTAAGCAGGGTCCGGCCTGGTTAGTATTTGGATGGGAGTAATAGTGTGCATCACCCCCATTTTAGACGAGGAAACTGAGGCACAGAGATGCAAGGTCAGCCATCCACAGTCAGTCACATAGCAAGACATGGCTGACCAGGATGGGAACCGGGCCACAGGACCTGGAATCCTCGTTTTTATCAACTCTCTCCTTACCCCTAAGCAGCCAGCACAGGGCTAGGCAGATGGCAGGTGCCCTGGGGGATTCTCATCTCCTGAGGGCAAGGCCTGTGTGCTCTCCACCCAGCACGGTACCCCTCCACTGAGGACACTGTGTTTCTTGACCTGGATGTCTGAAGGAACATCTGGAAAGGAGCCCCAGACCCCACGTGCAGGGCTAGGGGTGGCTGGGGGGGGGTGCATCACGCAGCATGGGCAACAGACGGGCTGCAGGCTTGGGGAGCACCGGAGATGCCCTGAGAGTCTGGCTGTGGGAGCAGTGCCCACAGGGGCAAAGGCTCTGTCTCTGCAGACCCCCCTGCCTCTGGCCACTCGCCACTTAGCTCATCTCCCAGCACCACACACGACATGCAGCTCCCAGCCCTCCGCCCCTGCAGCTCCCATCCAGCCCTCACATGACCCTCACCGTGGCTGCCCAGTGAAGCTGGCCTGGCCTGCCAGCTGGCATCAGTGTCCTCATTTTACAGGTAATCATACCAACACAGCAGCCAGTGATTTCCCGAGCACTTCTCGGGTGCCCGGCACCCGACACGTCATCTCATCCAAACCTCTCCAAAATCTCCACAGTCCAATTCTTCCCATTGGACAGATATGGAAACTGAGGCTCAGAAAGCTGACTTCCTGAGGGTGAGGTGGCCCGGCTCCTACAGTAGAAGGATCACCAGTGTGCATCCAGCCCCGACCACACAGGGGTGGTGGGCAGACCCTCAGAAGGTGGAATGCTAGGCCACCAGCATCACTCCCAGTCCTGTCTTGGCTCCCTGCTGTTCTGGGAAGCAAGTGCCAGCTCCCTGGTGTGGCCCACCACCTGGCCTCCACCTGGCCCTCCCTCCCTTCAGCCTCTCCCCCTCTTGATCTCACCTGTCAGGCTGGTCACTCAGTGTGCCTAACCACCTCCCTCCCCCACCTCTCAACAGGCTCAGGCCTCCCAGCCTCTGCCCACAGTGCCCTTCCCACCTTTCTCGACCTGAGCGCTCTTCCAGCTTCCTGTCATCATCTCTTCCAGTAAGTTCTCTCTCCCCCTTGGGCTGGAACCCCTTTTTCAAACTTTCCCAGGACTTCGTGCCCATTCCCTAGCGCTGTGCATCACAGACGCCCGTGCAGAGTGGCAGCTCCGGGGAGGCGGCCCACCTGGCTCTCCTCTCCATCCTCACGCCTGGCCGTGTGCCTGGAGCTTCAGTAACTGCGCCCACTCCCCAAGTGACACACCAGTGCCCACAAGTCCCCCACCAAGGCATATCTGGACCAGTGTCCCAGGAGGGAAGCAGGGAACACGGAGGACTCCCACGGGGGGTAGTGCAGGAATCCTGCCCACGCCCCTTCAGAGGCGTTTCCGGGGCTAGGGAAGTCATCCGGCCTCGGCCCCCCAGGCTGGCTGAGCCGCATCCCTTCCTGCTGCACCCCAGCCTAGGCACCCCCCTGCGCACACACCCAGGCGCGCTCCCCTCCCCACCCCCAGTTCCAGAACTCACTATTTGCAGATATTTATAGAGTCCTCCCTCAGCCGGTTTCCCTCCCCCGCCCTGGGCAGTGCGGTGCAAAGAGCTGGAGCCCCCCTCCAGCTGGGGGCTCTCGCCCCACTCGCCTCTGCCGGGTCCCCAGGGGCAGCCACTGTCCCAGCCTGCACCCGCCCAGCACCCCGACTGCGCCTGGGCCGCCGCCGCCGCCGCAGCCTGGGGTCGGGGGTGGGGAGGCGGGCGCTGAGGCCTCCCACCCCCAACCCCGCGCCGCGCGGGAGGTTGGGGGGGCGCAGCGCACAAAGCAGGACTGGAGCCCTGTGCCTCGGGGACGCCCCCCGCCAGCCGGGGGAGGGGGTCGCAGCGCCGAGGCTCTGCCCTGCGGGCCGGGCGAGCTCCGCGGAGCCGCCAGGTTGGGGGAGGGGGCAGCGGAGCGCAGCGGCTTCCCTGCATCCCGCCCCCGCCCGGCCCCGGCGCCCCCGCCCCCAAAAGTCACGCTCGGGAAGGGGGCCCGCGGAACCGTGCGGGGGGCGTCGCGAGCGCGGAGCCGAAGGCTGGGGACCGCGAGCGCGCGGGATGGAGGGCTGCGGCGCGGGCCCCCCAGGACGCCGGGGTCAACTCACCCATCGCCCGCTGGGTCTCAGCAGCGGCGGCAGCAGCGGCGGCGGCGGCTCCGCGGCCCCCGGGGCCGCCGGCGGGGAGATGCTGGCGTCCGCCGCAGCCTCTCGCCCCATCCCGGGCTCCGGCGGCGGCTGCGGCGGGCGTCCGGCATCGCAGGCGGCGCGCCCCGGCCCGCCCGATCCCGCCCCCACCCACCTCCGCCCGTCCCGGGCCCGCGCGGGCCGCTCGGCTGCACCCCGGGGCGGCGCGGGCCCGGCCGAGGCGGACGGGCGCGGGGAGGACCGCGGCGGCGCGCGGGTGCGGCGCGAGGCGAGCGCCGCGCGGAGGTGCCCGCTCCCGCCGGCTCGGGCGGCTCCGGCCCCCGCCCCGCCCCCACGCAGCCCTCCCCTCCCCCGCCCGCCAGGCCCCGCCGGCCGCGCCGCTCCGGGCCGGGGGCGCCTCGCACCGCAGACTCCGGCCGCCGCCGCCGCGCCTCCCGCGTGTGCTCGGATCAGAGGTGTGTGTGCGAGTGAGAGTGCGCGCTCCCCTGCCTGCGACCGTGCGTGCGGCGGCCCACGGCCCGGGGCGGCCTGTGCGGGGGTGTGTGCGGCGGGAGGCGGGGCGGGCCGAGTGTGTCTGGTGCGCGCACGGGGCGGCGTGTCGTGTCGGGTTGTGTTTGTGCGTGGACGTGTGTGTGTCTGTGTTCCGCAGCGTGCTTGGGTCTGTGTGACTCCATGTGTCCCGGGTCCGCGCCCGCGTATGCATGGACGTGCAGATCCGTCTTGTGGTGTGGGTCTGCACGGCTGTGCCCACTCATGCCTGGACCGTGACCGTGTGCACGCATTTGTGAGCGTGTGCAGAGGCCTGGTCGTGTGGTGCGTGCACGGTGTCGGGCCTGTTTCCGTGTCTACCCAGATCTCTGTGTCTGGGTCGGGTGCGGATGGCCGCTGTACATCGGCCTGTGTCCTTCCGACCTCCTCCGTCCGCTCTTATGCCCACAGCCACCTGCGCACTCTCTCCAGGTGACTCCAGGGGTGAACCTCCTTTCCCACGCGTCCCTCGAAAGGCACCCGAGGGCCGGCCAGCCCTACCTACCTTTTGAGGCTCCTGTCCTGCAACGGGGCCACCGGTGGTTCCCCGAGGGCCCACCGTTTCGCACCGTGGACCCTTCATGCCCGTGCTGTGGGCCGTTCGTCTCAGGGCCTGGAGGCGCCTACAGGTGCTTCCAGCCCGTCCGTTCTGGGGCCTGCAGAGCAGTCCCTGCCGCTGTGTGTGCAGGGCACGCTGGGGATGCCGCAGGCACCATTCCGCGCCATCAGCAAAGGTGTGCCCAAAGGTGTGGGTGTCTCCCTCCCACAAGCAGGGAGACACCGCCAAGGCTAGGTCCCTGCACATGGGCTCAGGGTTGGTCTACCGGCATTTACCGATGCATTGGCGCTGCCTGGGGCTAGTCTTCCTGCTGCAGGTGCCACCATGCCATCTTCATTGGTCCTTGCCCCGCAGCCAGAGTGACCCTTCTCCAGCAGGCATCTGAGCGGGTCCCTCCTGGCCTCAGCCCTCCCACCTGCCTGCAGCTTAAGCTCAGTGCCTTGGCGGGGCCCCTTCTTCAGCATCACACCCCCCCCTACCCCCCCAGGCTCTCCCCAAGCCAAGGGTGGGCAAACCATTTCCTGTAAGAGCCTGATTGTGAATATTTTAGACTTTGCTAACTGCACAGTCTCTGTCCCAGCTACTCAACTCTGCCATCGTAGCGTAAAATCAATCCTAGACAATATGTAAAGGAATGAGCATGGCTGTGTTCCAATAAAACTTAATTTATGGACACCAAAATTTGCTTTTCACATCATTTTCATGTGTCCTGAAACATTATTCTTCTTTTGATTTTTTTCCCCAACCATGTGAAAATGTAAAAGCTGTTGCTAGGCCGCACTGCTCTGAGCACATGCCTTTATAGCATCTCCATAACAGCTGCCCCAGCACGGCCACTGCCCCCAGAGCCAGTCTATTCTGCCCTCCCAAAATGTCAGCCTCCTTCCCGCCCACCTCCCTCTCCAGCCGACTCTGCCCCTTCTCTGTCTACCCCCACAGAACCATCACGAAGTGCACATTTGAAAATTACTCGAGGGTGTCCGGCAGAAAGTAAGCCCAGGCCATGGCCCCGGACACCCCGTTTTCCTCTGAGCAAGTATCTTACCCTCAAGACATAGTTCTTGATGCAGCAATTTTGCTGTGAAGCCATTTTGTGTGACCTAAAAACCAGTCAGTCCGTCACACTTACAGCTTGACTCCCTTTGGGGTGTTTTTGATAAGGCGCAAAACAGACATGCTTCCCTATCTGGGAGCCCCCAGCCCCGAGGGGAGTTGCCAGGCCCAGAGCTGGTGGGGTCAGGGGACTCTGGGGTTGCTGGCTTACTCTCCATCCTCCCACTGTTTGAGTCTTTGTTATCCGGAACTTTCCAAATTCCCAAGCTTCTTGGGAGGCCAAAGAGGAGTCAGCCTTGGTTGGGCCCATACCAAAGTCCACGTCCATCTCCTCCGTGTGTTGGGGTTGTGTGGCAAGTACATGTCCCCAGCCCATTAGAGAGGACAGGTGACTTGCTCAGCCACACCCAAGCAGCCCCTGGCAGAGCCAGGCACACCAGGCCCCACCCGCCACCCTCCCAGCTCAGGCCCTGTGGGGCCAGAAGGGGAAACAACCCCGAATTCCTTTCTCCCGTGTGTCCCCTGTCACTCCTCTCCCTCCCACCTTTCCAGAGGCCCGGCACACGGCGCATGGCACGTTAGGTGCTCAGTGGAGGCTGAATGCCGGGTGATTAAGACCTGGCTTCGAGTCCAGCTCTGCTGAGTGTTCCAGTGATTTTAGTGCCCTAAGCCTCAGTTTCCTCACCTGCAGAATGTGACTGTCACTGCCCTGACACACCTGGACATCAGTGGAGTCTGGTTCTCTCCATCCTCTCCCTCTCCCTAGCTCACTTCCTGTTCTACCTCCAAGCCATCCACCACCACTGGCGACTTGAGGCCCTCCTGCCCTGCCCCTCCTCTGGGGGCCGGGCTGCCTGACTGGAGGTTGTGCAAGCCCAGAGCAAGCCCAGATACAAGATTAGGCAGCTCTAGGCGGTGTTGCCTTACAGCCCTACCGTCCCCTTTCACCTGGGCTGATTTGGCTCTGGAACAATTGCTGGGTCTGTTATCCTTTCAGCTGCTGCTGCCTGGCCCCACCAGGGAGCCGCATTCCGCCCTCCCTGGGTCATCTCACTCCTGGCCCTGGGTCTCAGGTGGGACATCTCCTGACCCACGCCATGAAGGCCAAGCACCACCTGCCAGGCCCCAGTGGGCAGGGAGCGTGGCGGAGCAGTGGGCAGAGAGAGCCGGCTGCAGTCCGGGCCCTACCAGCTGGGCCAGGCTCCACGCTCAAAGTCTGTAGAGCTGGCATGAAAGAGGCTGCCCGAGAGCGAGTCGGCGGGACGGCACCAGGTGGGCTCCAGAGGTATTCCATAAATATTCCATCCCTTCCTTCCCCATCGCCTGCTGGGTGAAGTCATCAGACCTGTCCCCTCCTAACCCCCAAATGCACTCCATTCATTCATCCATTCATTCTCTGCTGAGCCCCTCCCCAGGGGCACAGCAGGCAGCCCTCTGAAGTACTTGCAGTTTCTCCCACTTTTTTTATTTCCATTCCTGGTGTATATAAGTCTTTCCCAGAAAGGCTTTCTGGGAGAACTCCCACTCATCCTTCAAGACCCAGCGCAGATCATCCCTCCCTGCTGAAGACCTCTGAAGGGCTTCTGGCTCCCAGGGCCCTGCCCATGCTGCATGTGGAGAGTTCCCACCTCAGAGCCTTTGTCACTGCTGGGGGCCACCTGGAATGCCCCTCCCAGCCTGTCTCTCAGCACGCAATCCCCAATCGCAGCCTCCAGGGCGCAGCTGGATGCCCCCTGGCCACAGAGTCCCCTCTCACTTCTTCCCGCAGGCAGGACCTGAGCTGCTGCGCCTGGTGTCCTGGGCCCCCTGCCTGGCCTTGCTGTGGGCTCCTTGGGCATTATACGAGGTCGTTTCCCCTGGCGCCTAGCTGGTGCGGGGACTGAGGGCCCTAAGGCAGGGGCCCCGAAGCTCCAGGTTGGGTGTGTGGGCCAAGTCCTGCCAGTCAGGCCCTCTCTGCCTGGGGGGCCTTGAACAAGTCCCTTCTCTGCGAGCCTCAGTTTCCACACTTGTCAAATGAGGGCAGAGGATTAGACAGGGATCCATTTGTTACTTGCAAGAAATAAAAATAAAATTCTAACTCCTCAACCAACTGAATGGGCCCCTTCTAGGCCATGGGGACCCCAGGGAAACCTCAAGAACTGAAATCCCAGCCACGGCGGGATGGGAGGTTGGAAATGCCTCATTAGATGCCCTCTGTCTTTAACTGCCTTTGGGTTTTCCTCCCATAGGGCTAAACAGAAAGCAGCCCTTTGGAAAGACCGGCGCACCAACCCCCTTACTGTCAGTGTCACTCCTCCCTTTTGTGGTTTCCACACAACCACCCACTGGAATCCCTTCCAGGTAAGAGACTACTGACCCTGGAGCGGTTCTGACCAGTCTACAGAGGCTGCCCACAGAAGGCTGGGCAGTACAGCCTTCTGTTACATTCTGTTACCTTCTGTTACTTTTTTTTTTTTTTTTTTTTTTTCCTTTTTTTCCCAGGCTAGAGTGAGTGCTGTGGCGTCAGCCTAGCTCACAGAAACCTCAAACTCCTGGGCTCAAGCGATCCTCCTGCCTCAGCCTCCCTCAGCCTCCCAAGTAGCTGGGACTACAGGCATGCACCACCATGCCCGGCTAATTTTTTCTCTAAATATATTAGTTGGCCAATTAATTTATTTCTATTTATAGCAGAGACGGGGTCTCACTCTTGCTCAGGCTGGGTTTGAACTCCTGACCTTGAGCAATCTGCTCGCCTCAGCCTCCTAGAGTGCTAGGATTACAGCATGAGCCACCTCACGCAGCCTCTTACATTTTTCTCTAAAGAGGCAAGGTCTCACTTTGTCGCCCAGGCTGGAGTGCTGCAGCACAACCACAGCTCACTGTAGCCTCAAACTCCTGGGCTCAAGCGATCCTCCTGCCTCTGCCTCCTGAGTAGCTGGGACTACAGGCGAGGCATGCGCCACCATGCTTGGCTACTATTTTTTATTCTTTGTAGAGAAGAGGTCTCACTGTGTTGCCCAAGGCTGGTCCCAAATTCCTGGCCTCAAGTGATCCTCCCACCTTGGCCTCCCAGAGTGCTGGAATTCCAGGCATGAGCCACTGCACACAGCGTCTTTCACCTTTTGATGTCATAGGGCTGAAAACTCCACTCTTGGGCCATGCCAACTGCCATTTTTTGTGCATGCAATCTACCAAGGGGCATGAAGGTCAATTGCACGTGGGCATGTTTCTCCTTTCATAAGTATCCGTGACTCCTCTTGTAGTTTATTAAATATGTACAGTCAGCCACTCTGCTCAGCATCAATTCCTGTTCCCTCAAAGCACTTGCTCTCTCTTCCTGCCAGAGGCTACACTTCCCAGCCTTCAAGATGGCCGCCTGCAGTCTGCAACCCTTTGTGGAAAATAAAGCTCTCCTTTCCAAATGTATGAACCTCCCTGACACTTGGAGTGTCAGGGAGTCCAGGAATCTGCTTAAATTCTTGGTGGCATGGTGTGTGTGAGCATGTGTGAGTGTGTGTGCATGTATGAACATGGGTTCCATGTACATGTGTGGATGTGTGTGGGCATGTGTGAGTGTGCATGTGCATGTATGGACATGGGTTCCATGTACATGTGTGGATGTATGTAGGCATGTGTGAGTGTGTGTGCATGTATGAACATGGGTTCCATATACATGTGTGGATGTGTGTGGGCATGTGTGAGTGTGTGTGCATGTATGGACATGGTTCCATGTACATGTGTGGATGTGTGTGGGCATGTGTGAGTGTGTGTGCATGTATGGACATGGTTCCATGTACATGTGTGGATGTGTGTGTAGGCATGTGTGAGTGTGCATGTGCATGGATGGACATAACATGGTTCCATGTACATGTGTGGATGTGTGTGGGCATGTGTGAGTGTGTGTGCATGTATGGACATGGTTCCATGTACATGTGTGGATGTGTGTGTAGGCATGTGTGAGTGTGCATGTGCATGGATGGACATAGGTTCCGTGTACATGTGTGGATGTGTGTGGGCATGTGTGAGTGTGTGCATGTATGAACATGGGTTCCATGTACATGTGTGGATGTGCATGTGAGCATGTGTAAGTGTGCATGTGCATGTATGGACATGAGTTCCATGTACATGTGTGGATGTGTGTGGGCATGTGTGAGTGTGCATGTGAACGTATGGACATGGGTTCCACGTATATGTGTGGATGTGTGTGTGGACATGTGTATGCATGTATGAACATGGGTTCCATGTACATGTGTGGATGTGCGTGTGAGCATGTGTGAGTGTGCATGTGCATGTGTGGACATGGGTTCCATGTACATGTGTGGATGTGTATGTGGGCATAAGTGAGTGTGTGTGGGCATGTATGAACATGGGTTCAGTGTACATGTGTGGGTGTGGGGGCATGTGTGTGTACGTGTGCACATATGGACATGGGTTTAACATGCATGTGTGGATGTGTAGGGTGGCATTGTGAGTGTGCATGTGCATGCATGAACATGGGTTCTGTGTACATGTGTGTGTGTGGGCATGCATGTGGGCATGGGTGTGTGCCCGTGCCCAATTTGTGTGCATGAGTGTGCCCAATTTGTGTGCATGGGTGTGTGCCCGTGCCCAATTTGTGTGCATGTGACAGTGCATGGCTTCTGGGGGAGGGCCCGCAGCTGTTATCAGAGTCTCGAAGGGCTGCCCCAGATGAGGCAGCCTGTGCTCTCAGCACCTGTGGTCCCACGGGAGGGGCTCCCGTGGCTCTGGAAGCACCCGGGCTGGTCTGGCCCTTCCACTGCCCTTGCCTGGCCCTCGTTCTTGCCACAGCTTCCCCACTGGTGTTCCCACTCCCGCTCCACAGAGCAGCCAGGGATCCAGGAAAGCACAGTCAGCTCACCTCTCTCCTTTGCTCAAACCTGCTGTGGCTCCCATCCCACCAGGAGTGAGGCCAGGGTCCTTCTGAGGCCCCTGAGGTCTGTCTGGTCTAGCCCGGGGGCCTCCCCGGCCTCCTCCCCTCTGCTCGCCCACGGGCTCCCTGGCTTGCTTTGCTCAGCTATTCCCTCCGCCCGCCCAGAATGCTCTTGCCCAGGCACCCTCCTGGGGCCTCCTCCTCCAAGGCTGAGCCTCCCCTCTGGGCCTCCTTGACCACCTCATTTAAGTGCAGGTCCCTGGTCCCTGTGCTTTTTCTCTCCTCTCTCTCCCTTAGCACTTTTCTCTTTCCAGCTTATTAGGTAATTTAGTCACATATTATGTTTCTTGACTTTCTTTGCCCCTCCCCAACTAGAACAGAAGTGCTCAGGGGTCTGTGTCTCCTGTTTCCTTGCCACTGTGCCTCTAGCACTTGGCACCGCCTGACTCATCGCAGGTGCTCAGTAAACACGGTGCCGGGGGGCGGTAGCTGCAGACGGCCCCTTGCCTGGCCTCCACGTGTGCCTTTGGGGGACACCCCAGGGGTCTACTGCTGAGGTCCTGAGCACTGCCCAGAGAGACGTGCCAGCCCTCCGGGCGAGCGGAGACCTTTACACTGGGCTTGCCCCATGCGGCAGGGCTGCCGCGTGGGGCAGATGAGTGTGACAAATCGACTTTTGCTTGTACCCTGAACTGCACATGAGGCTGGGCTTTGGCAACCATGCCAAGGGACTCAGGAGCCTGCCCTATCGTCAGTCCCCGCTGTGCTGGCGCGGGGCCTTCTGCCTTCCCCAGGCAGTCCCAACACCTCACATTCTGGATCCCCAGGAGAGGAAACTGAGGCACAGCAAGTAGAAACTGACAGAGCCCACTCAATGACCGAGTGGCAGGTATGGACTCCAGAGCCAGTGCTCGACCACCAGAGGCCAGGCCTCTGAGGTCCCTGCTGGTGGGTCCTCTCTCCCACAGTGCGGACCCCACGGGAGAGAGGGAGGCGGGTGCACGGGGGCCAGGTTGGAGCTGTGTGCGTCTGAGCCTCACTGTCTGGCTGCCCTGGGCTCCAGGCTGTCCCGGGATGGAGGAAACGCCCGGGCCAGTGGGGGCGGCAGAGAGGAGGAGGCACGGTCCACGTGCGCAGGCAGGGAGCGTCTCAGCCAGGCCGGGAAGGGTAGGGTGGACTCGGACACACAGTGAAAGAGGAACCGGGTAAGCAACAGCCAGGGGTGGGGAGAGCCGGAATGGGGTGGTGTGGGAGAGGTTATGGTGGGAGGCACTCAGGCCGAGGACCACGGCAAGCTCCAAGGATGCCCCAGACGCCCAGAATTGGCCTGAGTCACCAGGTGGAAGCTGAGCAAGGGGCACCCCTGCAGCCTGCGGCTGGCCCAAGAGGCTGGAGGGGAACAGGCTGAGCCACACCAGTTGTCCCAGCTGGCTTCTTCTTCCCCGGGGGCTCTTGGAGAGAAGTAGACGCACCCACACCCGAGCGCACAGGCCTGGCACGCGGGGCCCCAGGCCCTTGGTGAACATGCACAGAGCAAGGCCCCGTCTTCCCGCACGTGGGCCCCACGGGGAGGCTTCTCACCCAGTGTCACACGGGCACACTCGCTCGCACGACCTTGTGCTCACAGACACACCCACAGCACACACAGGGCACGTCCCTGAGCCCACAGAGCCCTGCTGGGCACTCCCCACAAACTCACGCTGCAGCATTCCACAGGGTCAGCGCAGGGAGGACGGGGCAGGGATCAGTGCGGCCCGGGCAGGGGTGGTGCCCCTCCCGCCTCCCGCCCTGCTCTGAGCCGCCTGCCTTGGGGAAGGTGCCGAGAGCCGCAGGCAGAGGAGGGGGCCCCAGCCTGGCCACGTGGCTCCCGTGCGACAGCGAGGTTCGGTTCCGTCCTCACGGCCCCTGGACCACGGCCTCTGGACCATGGCCTCACTCTGCAGCCACTTGGCCACAGGGAGGTGGGCAGGGGCCGGGCCCAGAGGCGATGTCGGGAACATCCAGTCTCTCTTTACTTCTCTAAATCTGAAACCCACAAGCCCAGAGGTGGCCTGCTTGGGGCCAGCAGTTTCTCTCATCCTTTTGATGACCAGAAACCTGAATAAACCAGGATGCTGCTGGGAGCCCTGGTTAGAGGTCCAAGCTGTCCAGCTGGCCCCAGGCTGGTGGGGAGAAGTGGAAGACAGAGATTCAGCCCAGAAATCAGGGGCGACTGCAGGATCTCCACCTGGGGCCTGAGCTGGCAGCAGAGGCTTGGCCACTGGCCTTTAGCCCCTGCGCACCCGGACGCTGTTGAGCTGCCAAATGCGGCTCACTTGGGCCTCACACCTGTGCACTGGACAGGGGCTGGGGGCCTCAAGGTCATCTCCTCCAGTCTCTGTCCCAGGCCACTCTGCTTACACACCTCCCGGGACGTGGCGCTCACTCTCTCACAAGTCAACGCTGTTGCTGAGGTGCTCTGGCTGTCACAGATGCTAGAATCCACCGCCTGGAACTGGTCGGAGCAAGTCCGTGTCCTCCTCGCACCATAGTCCTTCAGAGACTTGGTGCGAGTCCTCCCTCCACTCCTCCGATGACGTGGTTTCCAGACCTTTCCATCCCAGCCACTCTCCCATTTGCCCCCAGTCCCGACACGGCCTGGCCCCCACGCAGAGGCCTCTCACCCGCCGGCTGACCGTGAGCACAGGGCTGGGGGCTGGCACTGGGCAAGGCTCCGGTGCTCAGAAACATTCTGGTTTAAAAATGCCTCAGCCACATCATGGTATAAATTTGTGGATAAGAACATGGATTAAGGCTGGGTGAGGTGGCTCACGCCTGTAATCCTGGCACTCTGGGAAGCCGAGGCAGGTGGATTGCTCGAGGTCAAGAGTTCGACCAGCACTGGAGCAAGAGCGAAGACCGTCTTGCTATCAATCCATAGAAAGATTAATGCATAATATTATAGAAAAGAAATTAGCCAGGCATGGTGGCGCATGCCTTGTATCCCAGCTACTCTGGAGGCTGAGGCAGGAGGATTGCTTGAGCCCAGGAGTTTGAGGTTGCTGTGAGCTTGGCTGATGCCACGGCACTCTAGCCCGGGCAACAGAATAAGACTCTGTCTAAAAAAAAAAAAAAGAACATGGATTAAGAATGGGGCCTGGCACAGAGTGCTCAGGCTTGCCCGTCCATCCTTTGTCCCCATTTTCCAGATGAGGAAACTGAGGCACAGAGTAGTGCAGCAACTTTCCCAATGTCAGGCAGCTAATGAGTAGCAGAGCCCATGGGGGGGGTGGCTGCTGGACTTCCTGAGGCCTCTGTGGGGTGGGCGAGGACCCGCCCTGGCCCCCTCCCTGCTGACCCCAGGAAGCATCACCGTGGGGACATTTTCTCAGAACTGTGAGGCAGGGTGGGGCCTCAGGGAAGCCCAGGCAGGGCCTGCAGAGTGTTGTCACCAACAGGAGGAGCAGGCCCGGCCTCATTCCCCACTGGGGCAGGGACACCACCTTTCAGCTCAGGGCGAGCTGCGGGCCCAGGCAGGGCAGGGCTCTGAGGCTCATCCTTCCAGTCCCCCTCCAGCTGGGCCTGAGCCCCCGACCTCCCTCCTCAGCATTCTTGGGGGGCATCTCAGCTTCCCCACTGCCCGCCATACAGGAGGCGTCCGAAGGCCAGGTTCCTTGCGGGGGACAGTGTCTGCCAACCAACCTTCCTCCCGGCCCCAGCCCGGCCACACGCCCACCATCTGCCCTCTTTGGAATCTGGGCTGGCCTGCGACTCGCTTTGACCTTTAGGACAGGGGGGAAGTGACCGAGAAGTGACTGGGAAACTTCTGGGCCGAGGCCTCGAGAGGCCTGGCAGTGTCCATCCTCTCCAGCTTGGAAGCCCAAGGCCACGGAAGAAAACCCACGTCCCCTGCGGCTGCGGAGAGAGGCCACAAGGAGAGAGAAGCCCTGAGACCACAGAGGGAGCAGAGAGGCCCGGTTGCCCCCACGCCCCCCGTCCCAGCCACCCCCTGCTGAGTGCCACATCTGTGAGGGTGGCTGGTCGGGCCACCCTGGCTAACACCACAGAGACAGAGACGTGACAGGCAGGCCAGGGTCGAGCCCTGCTCCCACTGGGAGGCCTGGGCAGGGACCCAGGTGCAGCTGGCTGGGGGATAGCGCTGGGGGGCTGGGGGTCGTTCGCCCCCCCACCTCAGGGAAGCCGCCAGGCTCCTGGAGTTTGGGTGTTTTGAATGAAAAAGTTCTCCAGGACAGAATCAGGTGGCCACTGGGGCCGGCGAGGGAGGGGCTGCTTCTAAGTCAGGTAGGGCTGTGAGTCACTCCTTCCTTGCCAGGCCACCCCGTCCAGCCCCAGGGGGAGGACCCGGGGCCCTGCTGGCTCCCGCACGGTTCCTGCCCGCCGGGCCGAGCCCATCTACAGGTGGGCAAGCTGAGAGGCTCAGAGCCGGAGAGTGACCTGCCCAAGAGCGCATAGCCGTGCCGTGCAGCGCGGAGGCCATGCGAAGCCAGAGGCCTGAGCCGAGGCTGGCCTGGCACGGTGCAGACCCGCAGCCCACAGCAGGCCTGAGGAGGCCAAAGGGTCTGGAGCCACGGCCCTGGGGGCACAGAGGCGTCACTAGGACCTCTTCCCCATTCCTTTTGTCTCGTCCTGGTGGCTTTGCTGCTGGCTGTTTCCTTGCTCGGCTCTCTCCACTGGGCAGGGCCTGTGTGTGGTTCCCAGTCAGGGCTGGGTACGTCCTAGGTGCTCAGTGCTGGTCACTGGACACATGGGTGAGGTCTGCTGGTCTCAGATCCATCGGACGGGCAGGGCCGGCAGCAGGGAGACCCACTGGAGGCACTGGGACATGGGCAAGAGGGGGTGGTGGCTGGGGCGGAGGTGGCACTGGAGAGAGATGAGACCCAGGACTAGGTGCTGCATGGGATGGGGTGGGGGGACGTGGGGCAGACGCGCAGGGGTCTGCTGGGGACAGCTGCCCCCTAGGCTGCCCACCATGCCAGCCGGGCTCAGAGGCTGGGTTCCAGGTGTGACACGGCCAGGCACAGCCAGGGTGCCCTCAACACCTCCCACCCTCAGACACACCCATCCCCACTCTGGCTCCTACTCCTGGAACTCCCGCTCCCGCCTCCCGGCCCAGGGTGCACAGGCCTCCTCCTCCGGGATGCCATCCCTGCTTCTCCCGCTCCCCCTCCCCCGCCACAGTGCACTCTTCCTCTGCCCTTGCACTCATCCACTCAGTCACTCAGGAAACAATTCCCGGACTGGCCCTGGATGCTAGCCCGCGGGGACATGGAGATGACCCAGCTTAAGGGCGACAGACCCAGAAGCCAAACCACAGCATTCATCAAATCTGAGCAATGCATGGATGCTCTTTTATTTTTTTAATTAATTAATTTTTTTTTGAGACAGAGTCTCACTCTGTTGCCCGGGCTAGAGTGCCGTGGCGTCAGCCTAGCTCACAGCAACCTCAAACTCCTGCGCTGAAGCGATCCTTCTTCTGCCTCAGCCTCCTGAGTAGCTGGGACTACAGGTATGTACCACCACGCCTAGCTAAGTTTTTCTGTTTTTGGTAGAGACGGGGTCTTGCTCTTGCTCAGGCTGGTCTCGAACTCCTGAGCTCAAAGGATCCCCCCCGATCAGCCTCCTATAGTGCTAGGATTACAGGCGTGAGCCACAGCGCCCAGCCTGAATGCTCTTTTAAAGAAAACATTTCTCATGGATCCTGGGGTTGTCTTCAATCATTTTTATTATAATGTTTCTTATCGTGCACAGACACCAAGCCAGGTATAAAGCTCTTGTGCTTACATATGCCTTACAGAGCCAATTTGCAAATAAATATAAAGAACATAACAGAACCAATAAAAATTCAAATTGACAATGGGAAGGGGCCTCTCTGGCTCTCACCAGACAGGGCAGTCAGCGGTCCAGGTGCCCAAGAAGCAGCTGATTCCCTAGGGCCACATGGCTTTGACCCATGTCAAAGTGTGGGGCCAAGCCAGGCCCACCCCTCCCAGCCTGCCCCGGGAGTGGGCAGTGCCTGGCTGGCACCCGGCCGGAGTCTCCACATACCCTTCTCATTAGCCTCCAGACACCACAGAGTGTCAACACCCTGGTCAGCACAAACCCAAACTCTTTGGGTAGCAGGATGTTTTTTTTTTAGTTCTGTTAAAATATGCACAACATAAAATGTACCATTTTAACCACTTTTAAGTGCACAGTTCAGTGGCACCAGGTACATTCACATTGGTGTGGTACTATCACCACCCTCCATCTCTAGACTTTTCATCTTGCAAAACTGAAACTGTACCCATCAAACACTCGCTCCCCATTTCCCACTCTGCCCAGCAACCCCACCCTACTTTCTCTGAACTTGAGGACTCTAGGGACCTCACATGCAGCGGTCGTCCTTTTGTGACCTTTTGTGACTTTTTGTGACTCATCCTTTTGTGATGCCCTCCACGATCGTGCCCTGAGGTTTCATCCATGTTGTAGCATGTGTCATGATTTCTTCCTTCTTAAGGCTGAGTAATATTGCGTAGTGTGTGTATACACCACGTGTGTTTATCCACCTCAATCGGTGGACACTGGGTTGCTTTCACCTTCTGGCTATTAAGAGCACTGCTGCTATGAGCGTGGGTGTACAGCTATCCGGTTGAGTCTCTGCTTTCAATTATTTGGGGTGTATACCCTGAAGAGGAATTGCTGGTAATTCTATGTTTAATTTGTGACTTATTTTTAAGGCAGTTGTTAGATGCTCCTAAATTGGATTACAGCCAATTTGTTTTCAATTCATAGACTCTGAGCCCACTGAAATCTAACGGGCTCATCCTCTCCAGATTGTGTCCAGGGACTCCGGCCTGAAATAGTCCAGAACTGCACGATCCAGTGGAGTGACCTTGAGCCATGGCCACGAAGCCCTGGAATGTGCTGGCCTGCACAGAAATGTTCTGTGCAGGTAAAATACAGCTGGATTTCAAAGACTTAGTAAGAAAGAGAATGTAAAATAGCTCGTTAGTAATTTATATATATGTACACACACACACACACACACACACACACATGCACGTGTTGACACAGAGTCTCGCTCTGTTGCCTGAACTAGAGTGCAGTGGTGTCATCAGAGCTCACTGCAACCTCAAATTCTGGGGCTCAGGTGATCCTCCCACCTCAGCTCCTGAGTAGCTGGGACCACAGCCATGTGCCACCACCCTAGGCTGATTTTCCTATTTCTTTGTAGAGACGGGGTCTCGCTATGTTACTCAGGCTGGTCTCAAACTCCTGGACTCAAGCGATCCTCCCACCTCGGCCTCCCAAAGTGCTAGGATTACAGGTGTGAGCCACCATGCCTAATTTTTATGTTGATTGTGTGTTGAAACAATATTTTGGCTATATTGGGTTAAAGAACCTATAGCAGTTAAATCAACCTCACTTGTTTCTTTTTACCTTTTCAGATGTGATGGCTAGGACATCTAAAATGGCTCGTGGGCTTGAATTATCTCTCTGTTGTATTATTAACCCCGGAGGGTAATCTGGGTGCTTTCCGGGCCTAGAGGAGCCACCTAGAGCTCTTCTTTCCAAAAGGAGGAAGCCTTGGGATTTTTTTTTCAATCGAGGTGAAATTCACATAACATGCAATTAACCAGGTGCAAGAGAGCAGTTGGCATCAGTGCATTCCCCGCCACCTCTTGCATGTCCTGCAGCTACCAGCTCACTCCAGGTTCGAACTTGCTCATCACCAGGGAAAACACTGTGGATTAGCAGTCGCTCTCACTCCCCCTTCCCTCAGCCTCCGGCAGCCACTAAGCAGCTTTCTGTCTCCATGGATTTGTCCATCATGGACATCTCATTTAAAAGGGATCTTTTTGGGCCCCTTGTGACTAGCTTCTTTTGCTTAGCAGGGTGCTTTTGAGGGTCTTGTGTGCTGCAGCACCACGCGTCAGTACTTCATTTCTCCGTCATTTGCTCACCATCCATCTACAGATGGTCATTTGGGCAGTTTCCACCCTTTGGCTGTTATGAGGAATGCTGCTGTGAACATTTGGGTACCATTTCTGTATGGATACGTGTTTTCATTTCCTACAAGTAGAATCGTAGGAAAATGGCTGGTTCTTTCTGTCTCTAAATATTCACTTTACTTTTTTTTGATGACAGGTGTCTCGCTTTGTTCCCAGGCCTAGAGTGATGCCCTGGTGTCAGTCTGAGCTCACAGCAACCTCAAAACCCTGGGTAAGCTATATCTGTCGCCTCAGCCTCCCGAGTAGCGGACTACTACAGGCATGGCGCCACCACGGCCTGCTAATTTTTCTCTATAATTGTGGCATTAATCTTTCTATTCTCTTGGTGTTTGAACCTCCCTGGACATCGAGCAAGCCGCCCCGCCTCGGCTCCAGAGTGCTAGGATTAGCAGGCGTGGAGCCAAACCTGCCGGCCCTCCACTTTACTTTTTAAAAGTTCTAGCTATACATTGTCAGAGCCACTGGCTGCTAAGGGTGTGGCAGGACAGACGCTTGACCTTCACTGAAGGGAGGTGTGGAGAGTACTTGTGAGCCCCTCCCCTGCCCCGCCAGCCAGTATTTTCAGGACTTTGTTCTTAGGAGGATCAGATTCTCCAAGATGCCTCCCGGTCCTGCCTGGAGGGGGAGGCCTGGCTGCCCACTGGGGGCAGGGCTGGGGAAGGGCTGGGCCAGTGCCCAGAAGCACCTGGCACGCAGCTGCGTTTTTGTGCAAGGTCCCATCCCTGGATGGACTCCGGCTTTCTGCTGGGTTGCAGTGGGGACTGCCTGGCCGTTCTGGGTGGGAGTCTGGGAGCCTGGCTGCTCCTTGTTCGCCCCACCCTGGGGCTGCTGGCTGAGGCTGAGCCTTTGGTGGTTCTTCAGGGTAGATCATGCTGGTGCTCAGCGCCATTCCTGTACACTTGGGATGTGGCTTTTCTGTGTCCCTTAAGTCAGTTGTGAGTCCGTATCAACTTTCCAGCTTAAAAACTGGTGTGGTTGTCGTCTTCTGTTCTGTCTGCCCCAATCTTGTGGGTTTATACCAGGAAGGGAGGGAAAACAGAAAGAAACAGAAAGAAAATCCCTTTCTGTAGGTTAACAGGGTTTTAGCAGAGAGAAAGTCGATGACTGTGTTTAACCTGCCATTTTTAGCAAGGTTGTCAGGACAAGACTAGCCTGACAGTCCTAGAAATATCCCAGGGCCCACAGGGCGCAGTGGCTCACGCCTGTAATCCTAGCACTCTGGGAGGCTGAGGTGGGCAGATCGCTCAAGGTCAGGAGTTTGAAACCAGCCTGAGCAAGAGACCCTGTCTCTACTATAAATAGAAAGAGATTGGATACAAAAATGCGATGACGACAGACGCTGTCTCTTTGCCGTATCTACGGTGAGAATGAAGACCATTCTCAGCAATCAGACTGTCGACATTCCAGAAAATGTGGACATCACTCTTAAGGGACGCACAGTCATCGTGAAGGGTCCCAGAGGGACCCTGCGGAGGGACTTCAATCACATCAATGTAGAACTTAGTCTCCTTGGAAAGAAAAAGAAGAGGCTCCGGGTTGACCAATGGTGGGGAAATAGAAAGGAACTGGCTGCTGTTGGCACTGTTTGTAGTCATGTACAGAACATGGTCAAGGGTGTCACACTGGGTTTCTGTTACAAGATGAGGTCTGTGTATGCTCCCTTCCCCATCAACGTTGTTATCCAGGAGAATGGGTCTCTTGTTGAAATACGGAATTTCTCAGGTGAAAAATACATCCGCAGGGCTCGGACGAGGCCAGGCGTTGCTCGTTCAGTATCTCAAGCACAGAAAGATGAGTTGATCCTCGAAGGAAATGACATTGAGCTTGTTTCAAATTCGGCTGCTTTGATTCAGCAGGCCACAGCAGTTAAAAACAAGGATATCAGAAAATTTTGGGATGGTATCTATGTCTCTGAAAAAGGAGCAGTTCAGCAGGCTGATGAATAAGATCTAAGAGGTGAGTTGTCCAGCCACATGAAGACACCACATGATTACTAAGATGTATTTGTAATTTTGATGGTGCAATAAAAGAGTTGTAGGTTTGGGGAAAAAAATAGAAAGAAATTAATAGGCCAACTAAAAATATATAGAAAAAATGTACCTGAGCTCAGGAGTTTAAGGTTGCGTGAGCTAGGGATACTCAGGGCACCGCTAGGTTATAGCCGCACCCCAGGCCTGCAGCGCCCGCCTGTGGGGCTCAGGGCTGTGGGTTGGGAGGGTGAAGAGACGGGAGGGGTTCAGAGATGAACTCACAGTCTCTCGGAGGATAGATAATACGCAAGCACCTGGAGGTCCAGCCCAGAGCGACCCCTGAGACGCCGGCTGAGGGGGTCCTCTTCTGTCCAGTGGGTTCTGGAGTGCCCCTTCACAGTACGCAGGTGGGACCAAACGTTGCATGATCCCTGGGAATAAATTGTATTTTATTATATTTTTTACTTTTTGAGACAGAGTCTCACTCTGATTTGCTGGGGCTAGAGTAGGGGCGTCAGCTAGCTCACAGCACCTCAAACTCCTGGGCTCAAGCATCCTCCTGCCTCAGCCTCCAGGTAAGCTGGGACTCCAGGCAATGATTGCCACCAATGCCCAATGGTCCCTTT